TCTGGAAAAAAAATGGACGGTTGTTTTTCCAAATGCTGCGTAGGAGAGATCCAAGCCCTTCGGCTTAGACCGTGAACTACTTAAACTAGTTTATTTATTTATTTATTTTTTGGATGTATCAGAGGATGGACATAATAAAAAATAGTTCTTTTATTCTTTTAATTTCTTTTTTTTTTCCAAATTTATATTTAAAAATTTTCAAACTTTTAATAATTGGAGACAACCTTAAACACATAAACAAGAAATAAAATTGATAGAAACCAATGTTTTTAGCCCGACTCGGTGATTGATCAGTTTTGATCACCGGATCCGATTCAACCGATTGAACTGATTTATCTAATCGGTCCAACCAATCAACTAAAAGACACTTTTTTTTTTAACATATTTATTTGATTTTACTTTCTTCTCCAACTGCAACCTCTCCTAGCCCCAAAAACTTCCATCTCACCATCATCTTTGCCGAACTTCTTCCAGATCTTCTCTCCCTGATTTCTTGACTTTTTTTTTTTTTTTTTTAAGTTTCCTTGATTTTTCCTTCGGGCTTCCTTTCCTGGTCCCGATTCTCTTTCAAGTTTCAATTTTGAGATCTACTTCAACCCAACATTCATCATCATCATCACCGAACAACAAAATCAAGATGCTGACGACGAAGGAGAGGTGGTGAGCTACCGACGGAGGAGAGGTGGTGAGCTGCCGACGGAGGTGCAGGGAGATCGGGCTACTTTGTTGCTTCTGTTCAGCAGAGGAGATGAGGCGGTGATTGGTCTGGTGAGATGCTGACGAGAGTGAAGTAGGGAGATTAGGCTGCTTTGCCGAAGGTGATGAGGCGATGACTAGTGTGGTGAGATGCCGATGAAGTCACGGAGATGGAGCAGGGATGAGGGAGAGGGATGGCCGATGCGATGCCGATGATGTCTTTCTACATTTTAATTCTTTTTTTCCTGGTGTTTTTAAATAATAGTACTTTTGATTATGGTTTTAAGATTTAGTTTTAGTTTAAATTTAAGGTTTTTAATGTAATATGTTAAAAAGATGAGATAAAATAGGTAAATTACATTAAAAAAAAAGAAAAAGTGAATAAAAGGGATGATAGGTTTTTGCCCGACAGGTGGAACGCGCTGGGCGTTTGAAGCAGGTCTAGCGGGTCTGGCGGGCTTGGACGGATCAACTTGTAAAACGGGCTAATACATGAAACCGACCCGTTTTTAAGCCTGGGTCCGGTTAAACTGGTTCAACCAGTCGGTCCGGGTCGGGTCTTAAAACACTGATAGAAACGTCCCAAGAAGGCTGGAACAAATTTCCTCCAAGAGCTCATTGCCCATTGTCTTTGGTGGTGAATTAACTCAGAGAAATGGCCTAAAAT